GTGTGTGTGTGTGTGTGTGTGTGTGTGTGTGTGCGTGTGCGTGCTATGGGGGGAGGCTTTCTTCAGAGGTTTTGGAATATACAATGGTGTAATGTGATTTCATGAATATGTGAACAGCGTATATAAGTAAGTTTGTCAGCTTGTATAGCAGCCGCACACACACAAACACAATAATAAAGCATGATTGTCATGGCTTGCTGATTGAATCACTGTCAGTGCCTCAGATGTTGAACATTTATGCAGTTGAAATCATTAGAGTGTAATAGTGAACAGCAGGAAATACAACCAAGCAGTTAAGCTACACTCTGTTAATAGACCTGGACAGGTTAAAAGCTCAGTGTGTAGGTGACGGGTGTTCAGCTGCAACATGCAACTTCAACTCTTGATATTACACACTGTACCTTTAAGTCAAGCTGCTCAGTTGGCTTCTTACATTATAATTTCACAGATTTTTGTCATGATTTAGTTGACACTTATGGTCGTTTTCTACAGTTTCTTTATAGAATGAATTACTCGAGTTATCCAGTAAAATGATTGTTGTTTATCAAAAGTGACTAGGAGATGCAACAGGAAACTGGTTGTCATCCAGGTAAATTTTCCATTGAATCATTGGTGCCAGATGTTCGCATATCTGTTGTTCAGAACTTTTCAGTTGGACTAAAACTTGAGCACTGGTTCACAAGTTCAACTTTACTGTGTAAAAACTTACTGAACAAATGTGTTATTTAGCTGATTAGTTAAGAAAATGACAATATAGTACGTAACAGCTGATGGATGACACATTTATTTTGGTCAAGGCCTGCACATGTGTTGTTTATGAAACGGGACAAAGGTCGTGTCATTTACAACATTATGTGCTACCCACAGTCATTACTGTGGCTTTGTTTGTGTCTTCTTACATCTCATGAAAACCCTCTGTTTGTTTGTGTGTGCAGGGCTCCCGGTCCAGTGGCAAGGTGCACAGCTTTGGGAAGAGAGAGCAGGCCATTAAGAGGAATCCCAATGTACCTGTGGTGGTCCGAGGATGGTTATACAAACAGGTGAGGACGCACACATACTAGCAACATGCACATTTTTAATAACAATAATCCACTCAGTATTAATACAACTTAATAGGGAATCCTGGGTGAAAAATACCGTAAAACAACTAACATACATCATGGTGTATTGATTTGGAAAAACGTTCAAATATAATTTTCACTGTCCGAATATCTAATCATATATATATATAATCAATATTGCAATACAAATGTAATCTTAAAATGAAGATGCAGAGATTCAGTGTTTTTGAGATAAAACCTTATAAAACCTTTTCTGCCCTAACTTTTTACCTTTTCGTGCTGGAAATGGTGATGATGGATACTGTCTCAAACACATAATGTGTTCTATAACATGCCAGATGGTGTAAAATCCCTGTCTAACCTTTAAAAGTCCAAGTTGACATATCCAGTGCACAGTGATGATTTTACACCAGAGAAATGGAGCTGGGATGAGTGAGGAGTATTAGAATATTTCAAGTCCACTAGCTAATCGATTCATTCATATAATTATGAATTAATATTATCACCATGTAATGCAATTATTACCATATAATGTCAGGGGATTGAACAGGTACCTTCCTCTTGACATTAATGACAGACAGTCAGTCCTGTGAGTTTGCCTCTTACGCAGCACCAGGGCACGATGAGTCCTAGCAACATTTCCTCCAATGGCCTTGTTTCAGTTTTCCAGGCTATATTCATTTATTTATTTATTTGTGTTCTGGCAGTATAGAGCACCTGCTGTTGATCACAAACAGGCTATTACTGGAGACTATTTTAAGTCATACTCAAAAAAAATTTTGTTGGCAGCGCCTGGCCTCCATAACTCGAACAACAGTGAGTGATTTTTCTGTTATATTTTAATGACCACATGGTTACACACACACTTATTGTGACATAAGTTGATATGTTATAGCCACAGTAGCACATGTCCACACACACACATACACACACACACACACACACTTCCCGCACAGGTTTATGTGGTTAACCGTATTAGGACTTTACACTTAATCCCATTCATTGTGGACAGACTAGCCCAAACCTTTTCCTTAACCTGAACCATGACCAATTCTTTTGCTCACCCAAACCTTACCGCAATTCACATCTTCAGATCAGTGTTTTTACTTGTAAATGTCCTAAAGACGTAACAAAAACACACACACACACACACTAACACACACACACACATACACACACACACACTCTCACACACACACACACACACAAACAAATAATCACAAACACATATTAAGCACACTGTCAGATCCAAAAGCAATTTACTCTCTCTCATCCCCTCACAAACACACTGGGTAACATGGTTGTAGTTACATACATCTTTTGCCAAAGAGCGAGTTCAGATCTGTGTTTGAGGTGATTTCATCCCATCTGCATCTCCTCTGCTCTTCTGACGCCACCATTATGAGCCAGAGAACATAAAAGACAAAACAGGCAGTAAAGCAGCAGTGTCAGGCCCAGCGAGCCACAGAACGAGGACAAATGATCACTCCCCATCCCTGCTCTCTTTCCTGTTCACCCTCTTTATCCCTGGACACCTCACTTTTGCTTTCATTACCCCTGTTTGCTCACTGTGGCTGCTGTCCCATGCTACCCCCTTTCTATCTCTTTATTCTCCATATCTCTCTTCATCATTCTCATTACTCCCTCTCTTTTCCTGTGCATGATTTCTGTCTCGTCTTTGCTCGTTATCTCGCCAATCTGTGCTTCTTTCCATCTCATTATTCATTCATTCATTCATTACTTACACTTTTCACCCCCCCCCCTCTCTCTCTCTGCAGGACAGCTCTGGGATGCGTCTTTGGAAGAGGAAGTGGTTCGTCTTGGCTGATTTCTGTCTGTTCTATTACAAAGGTGAGGTGAAGGTCTTGTCTGGACCTAATTATTTAAATTCTCACTCACTATGGTCTCCACCGCCTGCCTGTTTATTTTTTTCTGCTCCCCCACAATCATGCATTTAGGCAAAGACAAAATCACAGACTTGCCCTTAAAATATCATACAGTTCAAGTTATATTTTCCAATGAGCAGGAAAGTCCATTTAGACATTAGAACTAAATAAACTCTTTTTTAAATCAGAGGAGACCTATAAGCCTTTTCTGGGTCTTTCTACTTCATGTCTTCCGACAACAGCTGGATCACATCCTGTTACATCCAGTTAACTTCTGCTTTAATAATCACTGAATAAGAGTCTACTCCCTTGTATTCGCTCTATACACATTTTATTATTCACTCTGATACAGAACAACAATCACAGAGTAAAGATGGGAAAACTACAGAAACGAGTCCAGTTCCTGGATACCTCAGATTTAACTAACCTGTACTCCACCGGTTACTGCTATCCATTTAGTAAAATGTCATCACATAGCTTAATAGAGCTATTGTTAGATTGTTATATACTAGAAGAAATGGTTATTGATATTATACTAGTTCAGTACCTATTCTTTTTAGTTTGAAAACTCAGAGGCAGGTAGAAACAGAGATGTTTAGAAACGATGACAGACACTCACAACCACTTGCTGATTGGGTCTTTTCAGTCATGACGAAGCCTTTGCTGATTGGTCAGGCTCCTATCACATGACCCCCTTCTGGAAAAAAAACGGCATTAGCCTCAACAACCAGTGTAGAACGTAACATAGATAATCAATTTCAAACTTTGCTGATCCTGTTGTCTTTGCTAACTGCTGTTGTGCAGTTAAATTCAGTTTTGTACGATTATACAACTGCTTACATGCGTAGGAGACAAGCTGTTATTCAAGCAATTTCTGTGTTAGTATGGACTGGGACTAAAACTGATATGATTGTTTTAGTTTGAAAATGCTGCCGCACAAAGTGCTGTTTACCTGTTTATTCAGATTTCAGAGAAGCTGGACTCAGTACAGAGAACCCTGAACTGTTGTTGCTGTTGCTGGGAATGTGCCAGGTGTAGTGAACATCCTGTTGTTGTGATCAACGTCACTTATGTTGATGTGTTCGACACTTTACTTCCGTGGGCCCTTAACAATACACATGTCAAGTGTGAAGCTGATAACATGAACAGACTTGAGATATGCATTCCACATACATGTGGGCAGACAGACAGACAGATTTCTGAAATTGCTAAATATGTGTGTTAATACAGTTTTGCGTCATGGATTAGGGTTAGGGTTATTTATACCCCGAGGGCAGATAATCAGACTTTGAAGGTGATCTTGCACCAAGTCGGTTTTTCTTCTCTGATCTGCTTGTTCTCTGCTGGTGAAGATGTGTAAACCAGCTCCTGTATCATTTCCCTCACTGTGGGGTTGTGGTGCCTGTGGTTGCCATGGTCACACAGCGAGTTGGGGCTGCAACATGAAAAAGTGGAACCATCACAAACTCCGAAGGCGGCGGGACATACTGTAGCTGTGAGCAAAGATCAGTGAGGAAGTGCATGCCAGCTGCGATGTGGCCTCAACAGCTGCACAGATACACCCTGACACCCTTACATGTGACTATGAATCAAGTCTGAATGGTGACAACTCAAGCATCCACATGACAACTGAGCCAACCACATGAAGTGTTGAAAGCTCTCAACAAAGCTAGTCAGTGACCCTTAACTTTAAGGTATTGACCTTAAAATTTGAAGTGCCTTTAAATAGCATATGATATGATTTGGCGCTATGCAAATAACATTTAAATTGAATTGAAATGTTTGTCTAAAGTGAACGCAAATATATAAGTGTACTGAAAACAGGTCTCAGTGGGTTACAGCTGGGACACGGACATATTCACATGCTCACACACACAGCTATACCACACAATCCATCGTCATCCCTCTCCATTCCCTCACTGTGTTTATCTGCCTCACCATGCTTTTCTTTTTCAGCTCCACTTTCCTAACTGGACGTTTTAGGACAAACCTTGACAGGAGGATGGAATCAATGCTCTGTTTTTTCTTTTCTTGTATTCCAAAGGTTTCTACTCTCAACAGGAAGACTCTTGATCTGTCTGCCACACCACTTATCCCCTTTGTTCATGTCATGTTGTTAGACAAACAAACCGATCACCTCTGGCTATTTTGTTGCCTTCAATGTCTGATGTTTTCTGTTGGTACTTCTGTTTCTATGTGTTTTTTCCATTGAAATTTGGTATTTGAAGCAATGTTATTCACAAACTTACTAGTTGCATTATTAAAAACGAATTCCAATATTTCATTCTTCAGACAACACATGTAAAATAATGAAGAAATGATGAAAATGTGGGAGTCAAAAAAAGAGCTGAATGTTTTGAGTTGATTGGGCAAAATTGAAGTCGCAGGTATTTCATTTGATCAAATTGCCACATATTCTATAAGTTCATCTCCTCAAATGTGAGGATCTCAAAGGGGAATGTTGGTATTTTTTCAGCCTGGACCCTGTCTTAATAAATGAGCTTGTGTAATCGAATGATAAACTCCTTTAGAATTAGTCAGATTGTCTCCTCCAAAAGCTGCAAAATGGCGGCAGTGGCTACAATGTAATCTTATCGGGCAACTGCAACACCCCACGAAGTATCCATTAAAGTCCTTTTTTCACCAGTAACAGGCTGAAATACTGATTCTAAGTATTTCCTTAGATCCTGGCAACATTACATGTGTCTCACTCAACAAGAAGTCACACTCACACCTGTGCAGCAGCTTGTTGTCCTTCCTCTGCTTGTTACTGTTCGCTCTCCTTGTTCACTCTTCAATTTTTAGGAGCTCTGTTTGTTCACTCCGGCTCAAATAAGTAGGAAGTGCCATTGAAGTCAAATGCTTCATCAGTTTCAGAATAAAATCCAGCCATATTAGTTACTGTCAGGAAATTCCAACTCCACTCTTTAACTCTCTCTCTCACCTTTGCACCTTCCTGTAACAACCCAAGGCTCACAAAGCAGACTCCTAGCAAAGACACTGAATAACAATTTGAGCCCTTATTTGGTGAGAACAACTTAAAGCGAACATTTTACCTGCCTTTGCCCGAAATGATGACATGGTTGCCACTCCTGTCATTTCACAACTGGCGGAGGAGATTTACTGCACCACTTAATGCCAGAATTCCCCTTTAATATGTTTCTCATATACACTTGTGATCTGATGATCTTAAAAAAGTGTTTGAAAATTTGGAGTTATATTCTCAGTATTTTTAAATTCCTGGATATGGTCTTTTTACACCTAGTGTCATTGGGTAATTGGCAAATTCTACCATTTTGTGCTGTTTGGATTTAATCTAACTTCACTTGTCACAGTCTGGTCTGCTCAGTGTACATGTGTGTTTGTGTATGTGTGAGTGAGTGAGACACAGAGCTCAGCAGATAGACAGACCTCAACATATCGCCCCACCATTTAGGGAATGTCTCCTCTAAAGGACCTTGAATTATTTTTAACCATTTGCCCCTTTTATCCACAGTGCCGCCTTATCACCTCTTAACCCAAACACACGTACAGGCACAGATGCTGCACAGTCACACACACATTTTGTCATACCAGTGCCACATTTTATGATGCAGTTATCGCTTCATGCTCACAGGAAAACAGACATCACGTGCACATTCTAGAGAGTTGCCACAATGTTCAGACGAAAACAAACATCCAGAAGATCTGTTATATATAGACGTATGATTTAATTAACCTTCTGAAATGGCACGTCGGCCCTCCCTTTGTAAAGACATATTTAGTATTAGACCTTGAGCGTGAGGACGTTTATGGAAAGTGAGAACATTCTTCTTTAAGGGTTTAGAGTTGAGACTTTAAGGTAAAAGTTAAGGGTCCTTACAGATATGGAAGAACAAAAGTGTTTCCAGCTTTCAAAGCAGATGGGGCAGCACAGAGGAATGGTGGCTTGCTGCCAGACAGAGCAGGCAGGCTTCAGCTCTGTGGCCCTGAGATTCCTGAGTGGTCATTTACTGCTTGGCACAACACTGTGGTGCGAATGACGGCATGTGAGTGTGTGTGAGTGTTATGATACTGGTGGCAGCCAGTGATGAAATTAGTGGGTGACGAGTGATATTTATTCCTTTACTCCCTTCTTTCCTCCATATCTCATCTGTTCCTTTTCTCACCTTCCTCACCCTGATAATCAACTCTTTCCCTCCCTTTCCCCCCTTATACCTCCCACCATCTCTCTCTTCCTCCCTCTCTTTCTCTCTCTCTCCAGACAGCAGAGAGGAATTGGTCTTAGGCAGTATCCCTCTGCCAAGCTATGTCATTTCACCCGTGGGACCTGAGGACCACATCAGTCGCAAGTATGCCTTTAAGGTATGCCTCTCTTTGTTCAACAGACTGCTCTGTGATGTCTCATGTTTTTAAAGTGCTTTCTCTGATTTTATTCCATTGGTTTGGTGTAGTTTTGAATTATATATGTAAAAAAAGAACCAACACATGGGATGATTCCTTCTGGAACAAAGAAACGAGGACAGATTTAATATATGGGTTTGAATTTTAAAGAGTTTTATGTATTTTTCACAATATACTTTGCCATAAGTCCATCACCAAGCAAAACATAAAATCTATCATTTAAAATAGAATATCTCTTTCTTTTCCACCTGATTAAAACAAACGATGTTGAGGTTAATGTGACTAAAACATAAATGTGTTGCACTGGATTCTTCTACAAGTGAAACTGATGCACGCCAGACTACTTGCAACACTTCAGAGATGATGCTGATTACATTGATCACTGACTGAATTCCTGCTTGAAGAGACTTGGAAAATATTATTAATAATTCACTGACAATCTCACAGTTATAGGTTTTATTCCCACTTCAGACACACACGCTAAAAATGAATACCTCTCTTGCTATTAAAAGCCCCTCTAATGAGAGTGGTTTGTATAATTAATGACAGGGAAGTTCATTAGAAGTAAGATACATTCCTCTCCAACTAAAACGGGCTCTGCCTTTATTATAGAATGTTGCAGTAGCACCTGCTGTGAGACGACAGGCAGATTCTGTGGCATGCTGCTATTTCCTCTAGAGATATAGTGAGGGCCAAGAGCCGGAGACCAGTGGGAAAGTGTTCTGGGGATTGTACATGTTTACACAGGCAACTGGACTTGCTTGTGTCCAGTTACAATATGTACACATGTACAACTCCTGAAGATACCATGACCTGAATGACTAAGAAGCTTCACAGAAACAGTGTGTAGATGGGATACTGTATATTTACCCAAGAATGGTTTATGGTTTGTCTGTCTAACTGGAGTTTCACACAAAGAAGAAATTATAATGAAAACGAAATAAATATAATGAGTTTCAGAGGACAGTTAAATCAGATATCCTCCTACAACCGTGCTCTGAGTTCTGCTCAGCACTCACCACCTGTTGTAGTGATGTCCATTACTACTGCCTGTCTGTCAGTGTCTTTATTGAGAGAGACAATCTCCTCTGGAATGGCATGAAGCCTCTCCATTCCCCGAGGCGCAGGTCTCTCTGAGTTGAGCCTGAAACGTGTGAAGTTAAGAGGCGGACTAAGTGTGCATACTCCGCACACATGTTCATAGTCAGAACTGTAGGTCTCAACTTCATTCATGCTTTTAAACAAACACATTTTATGTCCCACTTACACAATCCTTTTTTTCACCGAGACAAAAAGCTAAATTTTTGGCTTAAATATGTAAGAAACAATCCTGGGAGCAAAAGCTAACTTTGAATATTTGCAGCAGACTAGTCATGTTCAGATTTATCTGCAAGCAAGACAGAGATCCCCTCACTACTCACTCCTTAAAGGTCTTTATAAGAAGGCTCACTTCATGTGTGAATATTACAATGTATGAAATATTCACTCACATACATCCATTCACTCACTTCAAACTGGACAGGACTGGTATCGCCCAGTGGACTTGGTGCATAAAGTGGCAGCTGTATTGAATCCTGATCCCTTATATGTAATTTGCTTCCAGTTTTTTTCATCTGATATGAGATATTATATTCATATCATCTGATATGAAAATAAACTTTGATTAGGATTTAAAGTGCTGCTGTGTGACCCCACACCAGCAAGTCAACAGTTAGTCAGCCATGTGAGCTGATGGTGGTTATTTGACTGGTGTTAAAGTGTGTGAATGCTGCACCTCCTGACTATCAAACCAAACAACTCCTGAGCCTACAAATCTCCGAGCTTCGACACCCTCCCACCCAGTCCCTCCGTCCCCTATTCACCGAATCCTCTCCCCTCTCTTGTTCTCATTGGTTGGCTGCCCGACCGGGACTTCCCTCCCTCGCTGTGAGTGTGTCGTGTCATCCAGTGACAGTCGTCACATAAATAGGTACTCTACGCTCTCATGTGCTCTCTCTTTAGATGTAAACCTTATATATCCTTGTTGTCATCCGTTGGTGTGGCTTTTTTTGGGTCCAAACATGACAGAATATACAGCTGCCTTGTATATTTCTGTTTGGTTTTTGATGCATGTCCTGAGAATAACATGTCATTTTGGCTGATGTGGTTGTGTTGTCTTTTGTCTTTTATCCCCGCTTTCTCTCTCTCTTTTCCTCTTTCCATCCTTGTTATCACAATATGAATTGTTATATTTTTGGCCTCTCTGGTTTTTGGGTTTATCGTTTATTTACTGTTATGTGCAGCAGCCCTTGCCGCCTCCTCCATCTGTCACATCTACTGTAGCAGCATGCAGTTCTCTGACGGCGTGGAGAAAAAACTTTGTTATTCACAACTCGTATCACCTCATGCTACTGTTCCAGAAATGAGGAGCAGAAGAATGATGTTGAAAAGCTGTAGGAGATCTTTTACTGTGAATGTAGCGCACAAAACCCCACGGTCACTCAAATGTTGAATTTTTCTGAAGCAGCTGCTGCTTTAGGGAATTTTGAAGTAAAGAAACCTTTTAAATTCTAGCTTCCTAAAATGATTTATTTTCTTATAAACAGCAAAAATAAAAAAAATCTGTAATGATGCTGAATATTTTTCAAAAGCAGGCATGATTTAAAACTGAGTTGCCTGCAAGCTTTTTTCTTATATTGGTGATTTTCATTGTAAGTTTAGTTGCAGGTTTTAGAGAATGTACCTTATCAGGAGCTTTGTGGGGCTCTGGCTGCTGGAGCTTATCTCTGTGAACACAATGACTCTTTAAATAGTGTGTGAGTGTGTGAGTGTGTGAGTGAGTGAGTGAGTGAGAGAGAGAGAAACAGGAAGGCTGAAGGAGAGAGAAAACACAAAAGAGAAGAAGGTGTTTAAGGCTGGAAAATAAAAGGCAAATAAAGAGAGGAAGTGATAGGAACAAAAAAGAAAGGGGTGGAGGGGAAGGAAGTGAAGAGGGCAAGTTGCGGTGAAGTACAGAAAAATGTGACTTTATTGTATTTTTTTCTAAAAGCATGATTTTAAAATATAGCAGGCAAAACAATTAATAATTAGAAACACCCTCAAGACTGCCACCACCTCCCACACATGTACACACCACAGAGACGAAACAAAGGCTTGCTGTGCATGATTCAGAGCGTAGGTGTGTCGGTCATGCACTCTCAGACCTGAACGACCCACTCAGCATTCCTGCTGAAAGAGAGGCAGAGACTTTCAGTGTTATTTTAGACCGCTGGTGGTGTGTGTTGCATTTTGTCACCGTTGAGTGCATGTCTGTGTACTCTGATGTAACTAAAATATGGTGAATGTGAGGCTGGTGATTTGGCATTGAAATAACAGGGCTTCCAATTGTCTGTGTGGCGTGATGAAGGTCGCATGAGTGTGAAGTCATGGCTTGTTTGCAAAATGAAGTCATTTCTCGCTGCAAGTCTGCATGGGAGTAGGATGTGGAATTAGGGTTTCAGGCTGTGATAATAGATTCTGTGACTAGGATTAATGAATGACTTCAGTTTATTCAACATATTACCACACAAATGTGTGTCTACGCCTCTGTACTCTGTGTGTGTGTGTGCATGGTGCGTATGTGTTTGGTGCACATGCAGACCAATATCTCTGCACGTGCCTGAACATCTGACTAGCGACGCATTTCCCCATCTCTCACCAGGCAGCCTGCCTCATTGAGGCTATAAGAGGCCATCTGTCAGAGTGCTGGTGGTGAGCAGGCGTGTTTTGACAGCTGCTTCCTGAGGATGCTGATATTCTTCTCCCCCAGATTTTATGGGCGTTTTCGGACACGTCCACCATTCATTATTAAGATGAGCTAAATACTTTCCCTGCCTGTTTCCTGTCCTCTGATCTACCTAAACAAGTCTCTGTGCCCGACAGTGACTGAGCCATGTGCATATTTTCACATCTGTTCACATCTGTAGGTTTTCCTCTGGCATAGAGGTCAAACGTGCAACCACAGTTTAGAAAAATACATTAGTCTATATCTTTCACATGCAGTAACATTATAAACAGGGGTTGGTCGTCCAGAACAATGAACTCGTTGGTTGTTTATCTTTTTGTGCTTTGGGACCATCTTTGCCAAATTTATCACTTCGTTCGAATGCAGTTTCCAAAGTTTGCTGATGCACTGGCCAAAGCTACACTTCTGCAAATCAGGACGTGGTATTGGATTGGTACACACTTACGTACTCGCTGATGCCCAGCATGGTATTTTCTGTCGTTTCTAAGGCATTTTCGATGCTAGTATCGGAACGTCTGTAGTTATCAGGACCCGATTGAATCAAGCAAGGGGTTCAATCAACCTTCAGATGAAATATGTACTAGGATCGGAGTCAAGTGAGTATTCAAGCTTGTGAGTTTAAAAATGATGCTTAAGTCATGTTATTAGCTCTCAGTGGCAGCCCTTGAAATGAGATTGTTTCAGCAGCAGTGCTTCCAGAGGGGAAGTGGATTACTCGATCAAGGGAGGAGGGATGTTTGTTCGTGTGCATGTCTGTATCTGTGCTGGTCTGTAGTAACAGGGATAAAACAGTCTGTGTTTTTATTTCTCATAAACTTGTTCAGTGTGCAAATTAAATGAAATAAGTGGGTGTGGTGTGTTTCTTATTATCATCTCGCTGCAGACAAGAAGCCAAATTGCTGAGGTGTCACACTCATTTTATCACAATATAAACCAAATGAAAAAATCACAGAGAAAATTATCGCATTGCAGCCATATTGGATCTCAACGCAATATTCCACACACACACACGCACGCACACACACACACTCACATGCTTATTATCCTACATTCATTATTCAGTGAATGAATTAGGGTAGAGATGATTTTGTGTTTAATTACTATTCATTTGCATGCATCTGTTGTTGAGTTGGCTCTCTCGTACGTCTCCTGCAGCTACTGAAACACTGATGGAAAGAAGGAGGGAAGAAAAGGGGAAAGTAGGGCATTTAAAAAAAGTGGTGCTGTGCTCAGTGGAGAGCAACTTGCTGTAAAGATGCCTCTAACAACCTTACTTTTACAGCAAGGGCATCTTTATCAAGGACAGAAAACAGCTATTAGTGACATACTCTTACCTGGATTTCTTAGTTTGATGTTGTGTTGTCTCATAGCAAGCCATAAAATAATTTAACTAGCATCATATATTTTTTTTGCACAGCAAAATTAACTTCTCTACTGATGATGGTCTCTGTAGACCAAAATGCACTGCAGCCAGAATCTTGTTGATTTTTTTTTACTTCAGCAGGAAAAGTGCTAAAAAGAAAAAACTAATTTTGTGCAGTAACTTTGTTATCACTGGCCTTGCTCTCACTCTACCTGCACAAGCTAAATAACTTTTGAACTCCTTCTCATGTATCTTTTTGTGGGCAGTCATAGCTACGTATGAAATCATTTTTCAGAGAAAATGGGCGCTGAAAAAAATGATTTTGTGAAGTGGCCACCACCATCACCAGCTAGTCACTATCTTGAAAGTTTGGTGCTTGAAAACAGCTGCCTGCTGTGACTGGAAACGTATGTCAGAAAACCTTAACAACTGGAATGGCACTCAGTCAAGGCCCAACTACCCCCTTAAATTCAAGTAGGACCAAATTTAACACACCATCACATCATTCAGTTCTCAAAATGTGCCAAATTTTTAATAAGAATTAACGAAGACCCACTAATAATTCCCTGAGAAATCAATGAACCTCTTGTAATGTCAAAGAAAATGGATAAAAAATCCCTGGATTTACACCAAAATTGAATGGATTCTCCCATTCTTCCACCAAGTTATATGGAACAACATCAACATATTGATTGGTGCAGTCTTAATTCTAATCAACTCAAAAAAGATAGGTGAGGTGTCACAGTGGATTTCAGACTTGGTTTAAAAATAGAAATTTGATTCAAAAAACATTCAATAATATTGATGCAAATGGTGCAGTTCAACATCAGCCTATAAAACCAGATAACAGATTCTACTTCAGGTTCACAGATTACATTATTATAAACCTATGGGATTTTTGAGCATGTGTGTCGTTCTGCAACATCACAAATTTGCTGTGTGGTATTTTTTTAATATTCTGCTCACTGAGTCTTTAAATCCTTTCCAATGATGAATTGGAGCAGATGTACTCGCCGCTGTCACACCCTGACAACAACAGCGTGTTAGATCACCGAGCTAATAGCCTTCCTACTGCGCATACAAAGAAGTATCCATCCTAAGTTTGAATATGCCTGTCACGGGCTCGCCACTTAAATCACAGAGCACAATTACGTTGTCAGGGAGCTAATCAGCCTTGTACTTCACACTGCGTCTTTAGCAGAACTATTCTCAACACCATTGTAATTGATGTTTGTGCATTATTTTGTGAGACATATTATACAGAAAGTATAGCAAGCCTAAATTAAAGTCTTGCTGTTAATGCTTGTTAACGGCCCATGTATATGTATATGTCCTCAGTTGGTTTCTAGCTGTACATGCAGGAAGAAACAGGTTTGTGAGGACACTTTGGGGCTGGGGGTTCTTTTTTTTCTGGCATTCATACTTTCTATTCTCCATTGTACCAAAGTATCTTTCCTGTCATTGGTCCAGAGTTGTGGCTTTGTTGGTCGTAAGTGGCTGGCGTTTCTTTGTCTCTGTATTTCTATTGTGTGGTTTCCTTCAGTGGCTCTTTCTGTATTGGTCGATGCTCGTGTGGCCCTTGATGTTTCTCTCGTTGGATAGCATGGCATCTCCCTGTCTCTTTGAACCAAGCTGCAGCTTGTCTTACGCTGTTTCTCGGCCTTACTCCGACCCTGATGCTGACCCCGCCTTTTCTCTCTTCCTGTAGGCTAGCCACACTGGTATGCGCTCTTACATTTACAAGCAGAGCTCTGTGATTGGCTCACAGGCGGAGCACACTGGGATGCGGACGTATTACTTCAGCGCTGACACCCAGGAGGACATGAACACCTGGCTGAGAGCCATGAACCAAGCGGCACTGATGCAGAACCACAGCGATGCATTCATCAGGTGGGGCAAATTCAATACACACACACACACACACACACACACACACACACACACACACACACACACACTAAACTAACTGAACACACACTTTACAATCATTCATTGCTTGCAAACCAGGCAACCGTTGAATGCCAGCAGTATACATGAAGTCCATGAGTGTATTAGAACATTTAAGCACTGACCACAAGAAATTGTACATAGAAGTCACAATAATAAATATTTATTCCCTTTTTTTAATGTTTAATTTCTCCACATGAAATATGACATCTTATCTCAGTACATTTTATGATGATATGATATGATATTATAGTAGTGCTGTGGTGATCTTGATACTGCATTTCCCAGAGATTACTTAATAATCATATTGTTTGGCCTTTTTTCTGTGATTACATTTTTAAAAATTTTCTCCTAAATAAACATTGACATTTAACTTATTTGATCCAGTTTTTACTAATTTCATGGATATTTTTAATCACAATTATAAAAAGATTATTTTGAGAGTTTATTTGCTTGTTGACTAAATACATTTATTTACCTGCACTTAAATCCATTTTCACCCATAATTTACAATCCATAAAAAAGCAAATATGCTAAGCATATGATAGAAGCAGTTGTTATATCCTATAATCATGCCGTCAGGAAAGTGTTGCCATATGTCTCTATATAATGCTGGTTTCTGGAATACATCCCACTGCTGTTTGTTTAATCACTGTCGGCCCTGATATGAGTGAAATACATTTGCTTATGTGCGTTCAATGTTGTGAAATGCTGTTTTCAGACGAGCAGTGGCTTCCTCAATGTATAATTCATGTGCTGACGAGGGGAGGTGGCACAGATCAAATACGTCCCATCATTCGCTGGCAGCCTCAGACATCAGCATCTTGCACCGCTTCATTTTCACTGTTTGAAAATGCCTGAAGGTGTTAGTGAGTGACAGGCTGTAGACAGTAAAACAGACAGTAGTATTTTTTTGTATTTTCTTCTTTGAAGAAACTATAACAGTAATATCAGTGTTGCAGTCATCTTTCAAGAGTTTTGTTACTTTTATATGTGAATGTGTCTTTAATACACATCGATTGAATTGCTGGCAACGCACTACTTCAGAAATGAAAGATACTGTCTTGCATGCTCCATTTACCAGTATCTAACATGGACAGACCTTTCACCATCCTGCTAATATACATATATATTGGCTCTCTTCAGACACCAGCCGCTGGCAGGTAGTATCCTGTCACCTGTGGATGTTGAGTTCATTCTTTAAAACTAAAATTTCTATGTGCCTCATTGAATTTCATTGAGACCTGATTATTTCTCTAAGCCAAGTGCTTCTTGTCATAGGGAATTTCAGTAATGCTTTTCAAAGTCAAGTTGTGGCTATGATTGTTTGCTTGTCATCTGCCCTGTTTTAAGATGCCCTGTGAGATGGATTTATCTGTGGCCTTAAAGCTGCAAATTGGGCTAAAAGTTTCTCTTTCATGTGAGAGTCATCTAGTTTAAATTCGGTTCAGCACCACAGAACAAAGATTTAGACCCCTGAAGTGGCGGAACATGATGTCCATGGGATATAAGGGAGGTGATCAAATGAAACTGAATTGGTGCTTATTAAATAAAAGCCCCCTGAAATCCTTTGAGAAGTTGGAGCTGTCAGCCTAACTGCTAAGGTTAATCATTTTCTAGTTCTTGCAGGATTCTAACTCATACAATGTTAAGAGAGTTACAAAAAGTGTAAAAGACCTTTATTCCTCCAGGCTTTTCATGTAATCTCTGCTCTCCGCAGACCATCTGACAAGTTAGAGAAGTTGAGCATTTTGCCGCGGCAGGCTGTTCCGCAGACGAACCACGTAAACCACCACAAGACCAAGGCTTCAGAATCCGACACCACCCAACCAATCATCCACGAAGTCCTCCTGGAGCCAATATACCGCGAAGCAGAGGAGCGCTGCAGCTTCCACAAAGACTCTCCTGTCACCCCTGTGCTGGAGAACCCCATAGGAAGCACTGGCCTGGAGATGGATACTCACACCTCCCTCCCCTTAAACCTCACACCCACTGCCATCTTTCAGCAGGACCCCGTATCGGCCTCGGCACCCGTGTCGAGGGTGCCATCACGAGCACCATCACGAGCCGCCTCAACGCTACCATCCAGCATCTGCACAAGGAATGGCTTAGTGCAAACACCCAGCCCCATTCTGGAGCCCAACGGGATTGCAGCGGGGACATACCAGAGGGCCCCGTCGGTGCCCCCTGCTGACACACACCAGCAGGTGCAAAGGAGAAGCACTCTGGAGCAAGTGGAGCAGTGGGTCAAAGTGCAGAAGGCGGAACAAAAAGGGTGAGTAACTGTCATGTACTGTATGCAAATGATTCTCTCAAAAAGCTTTATTTAAAGTCATTGTTGTGTCAGTCTGTGTTTTTTTTGTTTATTGGAAAAAGTCCTTCTAATGTGTCCTTCTTTTGCTATTTAACAGCCCCCCATCCAGAGAAAACACCCTCCCACGTCGCACACCACCAACCCAGCACAGGTTCACCTCTGTGGACGCATATCAAACTCTGCCAAAGACCCCTCGGCAGAGTCCCACACCTGCCCGACTCGGCGAGTACAAGTACGCCCAGGACCGCCTGAGCCACTTCCGCCTCACCCCGGAGCAGGGCGTCCCAGGGTCCAACACCGTTTGGCAGTTGTACGAGTGGCAACAGCGTCACCAGTTTCGTCACGGCAGCCCTACGGCGCCTCTCTACACCCCGGCCCCGGACTATCCCTTCGGTCCCCGCCCCCCATCGACCGTGCCTCCCTCCTCTTCACTCCCGAGGCCCTCGGGCCCTCCTCGCTGTGTGTCGGTACCACCTTCATCTGAGGACATCCCCCCACCGGGGCCCCCACCAGGTACCAGCCGAACCCTATCACCCACACGGAGGCCGCATACTCCAGCTGAACGGGTAACAGTCAGACCTGTGGGTGACAGGTCAGTGCTGGACATCCCCTTCACTGTGTCCCCCCGGAGGACCAAATCTCAGCTGTTCAAGGTAACGTTATGTCTCACAGCAGCAAAAATCCTTGTTTTCTACAAACAACACAAGGTTTAACATACTGCGATAAAACACACATTTTGGTTTGGATAAATGAGGCTGTAATGTTGTGTTAGTGAACAACACAGAGGTTTGGTTTTACTTTACAGGAATTATCCTTGAACCGTCAAACCAAAAGAACAAGACATGATAAAATAAAAACTATTATTGACAATAAAGTGCAGTTCTCTGTGCACAGAGACATTGTTCTCACAAAGCAAAATTTTAATTTGGGCAAATCATTCAGTTCTTAATCAAGGAAATGAGAGGAAATTATAATGTGAGCAGATAAGATTGGGGTTTTTGTGACCAGTGTTTAGCTCACTCTCTTATCTATGGTGTTCATCCAAGTAATTATACAAAAAAACTGAAAAATAGAGGTAATTCAAAAGAAAGGCTGCTGCATGAATGAGTACTGTTTGTAGCACTGGTAGATATTGGTGATTGGACTCATCATCTGGATGATGAGTCCGTTGGATCGTGTGGAATAAAAACCATATTTGTGCTCTTCCAAAGATTAGACGATGAAACTTTTTTTTTCTATTGTCAAGTGCAACAATATCAAATATAAATTTTTTTCAACCAGAACAATGTCAGTCATTCTGACAGAGGGGGGCGGACGCTGGAATTATGCTCCACTGATCAGAATAATTGTTTTGGTGCCTCTGGAACGGGTACAATTGTATACATATCCTCCAGGCGTCATGTCTGTTAAATTACCTCAACTGTGTCAAGCAAAAAGAAACGCTTAAAAAAAAAGGTCTATGAAAAATTCTATATTCTACACATACAGGTATTTGTTCCTTTTTTGCAAACTAGCAACCCCATTAGTAGTTGCTTATCCCATTATTTAAAATTCATGAAAAACACACCAATTTGGAAGTTTCCCTGTTCCACAACCACAAATGATATATTATTTTATTTTCAAAGTCATGTGATAACAAGAGTAAACTGGTGTGTGTGTGTGTGTGTGTGTGTGTGTGTGTGTGTGTGTGTGTGTGTGTGTGTGTGTGTGTGTGTGTGTGTGTGTGTGTGTGTGTTGTCAGGCTTCTACCATCGAGAGACGGTCAATGACTCCCTCTGGCTACATCACACACACAGTTAGTGCACCAAGCCTTCATGGCAAAACGGTATGTTTTACTCATCAATCCATAAAACATACATGTTAAGTGTTAGCATTTAAAAAACTTTGCATTAGATATATAGTTATTTCATCATTTATTGATTATTTATTACTTTGCTTATCTTGTATATTTTTGTCAATAGCTGGAAATTGAAGCATAAACCTTAACGTCTAAAGAGACTTGGGATTTAATGGTGTTATCTGTGAAGAGTTCACATTCTCAGCATCGGTCAGAACTGAAGATGTGCATTATTTCTCTGCTACGAGTAACATGTAACATGTGCTACTGACCAAACACAGAGGAGTTGGCTGCAGCTGAACTTGTGGGAGAAGTGCTTCTCACCACTCTGTAGTTGCTATGTCCCTCCCTTTTGTTTTCTACTCCATTAATCCTCCTTTATTCAGCTCTGCTTGTTCAAATTAGTCACATTACAGTCCGACTGCTAGCACTGTGTAAGGACGGTTCACTGAAGCGTGGTGTGGTCAGTATTAAGATTTGCCAGATTGAATGTCCTGTGGTGCCTGACAGCCCGAGGAGCTCACTCTGCTCCTCATTCAGCTGCGCCGACATCAGGCCACGATGGCCTCCGCACGCCAGCACACATTAACCCAGCTCCAGCGGCTCAACGGTCCCACAGAACCCTTCCACCACAACCACCTCCTCGCCACTACCACCACTAGCAGCAGCCCCCTCCTCAGCTCTGGTCCCTCTCCTGTGTCCCAGCTTGGACATGTGGGCCTCGCAGCTATCCTAGGCCCCTGCAACACTAAGGTGGGGGCCCCCGTGGCACGCCTGCCTGCCTTCCCCTCATGTTACCAGGAGCTGGAAGAGGTTGCCATTAAACATACTGCAGGACTACATTACAACTAAATGATTTCTTACTTAGAACTCATACAATTCCCTCTAAACTAATAGACTAATAGCATATTCTTGTGTGATATGCATGACTCTTTTTATGGGACAACGTCTGTCTGTCCTTCTGTCTTTCTAACGCTGGTCCAGAGTGAACTGTCTTAGCAATGGCTTTCCACGAAAAACTAGAATAGCAGTCAGTTGAGCACATAGGGCCCAAAAGTCTCCTCATGAAACCACATTTAAATTCACTAGATACAAATTTTTCTGCACCAAAGTACACACACTTGTACATATTAGTCCCCTAAACATATCCGGGTCATTTTTCATCAAGAGCCATGGTTGACACTTTGAGAAATTGACGTAAAAATGCAAAATACAGTGAAAATAAATTCCTTTATTCATTGTAAACTAGTTTTTGCATAATAGTGCTAACCTTTTGACAGACATACAACAAATAAACATGAAACTCTGTCACTGACTTACTGAGTGATGCCTTTGTCCCTCTTTTTCAAATGAAAAACCCTGTAGCCTTTCTTATAGTTTATAGTTGTAATCTTTCGTACACGGTGCTAAATTATTTTCCTGCTAACTGATCTAGATCTGCAGAAAGATTGAATGGGTTCTTTCAAGCTGACTCACACTGCATCCTTCCACCAAGTGTTAAAATCAATAGTGGTAATCCGTCCAGTAGTTTGTGTGTAGTCATGCTAACTAACAGACAAATGAAAACATCACCCCCTTGGTGCAGGGACTAAAGAGGCATCTCATTAGGACAAATTCTAAGGATACCATCTCAATTTTGCATGCCAACATTTTTTTCCATGAAAACAGATTCTTTCGCTGTTACTCTTCGTCACAATGACCTGCTTATTCACCCCCTGCAGTTGTCTCTGGGAGCCTGATGATTAAGATATCAAATTAGGAAGAGAGCAAAATCCAGACACAGAACACAAACAGAAGTTTTTGCAGACTGATACCAAATGAAAATAAATTCTAACCTTTAAATCCACATTTCTCGCAGTTGCCTGTCATTATTCAAAAACAACTGTGTAGATATAACATTATGACTGAATCTCCCCACTGACTCTCATCACTACATATGGATCTGACCAAGAAGCACCAAATTCGAAAAGCACAACTTAGACTGCGCCAGTTTTCACTGTGGTATCATTTTCCTCACGTCATGTTATGATCATATAAAAGTAAAGTATGAATTCTCTTTATTATTTCCCATGATACAGACTCACTGAACAAAGGTTTCATATTAACTGACATTCACACTCACTCTTAAGCCAGACGTGCCGCTCCCAGTTGATTCTGTACGTATGTAATTGTAAAAACATGTGTAAAAGTGAAATAGGGCTGAAAAAATCGAAACCTCTAATAATAAAAAACCCACAGAAACAAAAGCTGCTGCATCGACACCTCGTCACAGTATATTAGTGGCAACCTCTAACCAAAAGCTCCTGTGCTTTAGTCGTGTGACTTCGGGCATGGTTAGCGCTGGCCTGGCTGCCGCTATAGCACCATCCACTTCTTTTCCATGTGCTGTCTTTGGCTGGTCAGTTTCCATATTACGCTTCTAGTGATACTGTCCATAGCATGTTGCACTGCTAACTTTTCAACATGCACAAAGCCATCCCATGCTTTGGCTAACTGGCTGACTGTGGACGGTCAGTCTTCTGACTGGTAAATCCCTCATTCTCGGCCGTACTTGGTTTTGTGTTCTTCTTGTTGAGTGATGTGAGCTGTGACGTTTCAGGATCTGCCGCTTCTAACAATCTGGTTTGTGTTGGTGTTTTTGCTTGTTGCAGTTGGAGCACCTAAGCATCTCTGAGTACAAGATAAATGCCTGTTTTTACTGTAATTGTGAGTGTTGTGATGCATGTTAGAACAGGCACGTATTAGCAGTGAAGTGTATCATGCTGGATACGCAGATGTTTCAACATCATGCAGATTAAATTGTCAGAGAGGTGTTAGTGGATTCAACTCAGATGTATTTGATTCCTGTTGACTTCAATCAAAAATCTGCATTCACACGTGTCTCACCTTTAGACTGATGACACCTACATGCAGCTGAAGAAGGACTTGGAGTATCTGGACCTAAAGGTGAGACATGGACATAAACAGATTTCATCCCCTGATCCCTGTTAGTCATTTTAAAAAGTTTAACTTCTGCTGTGCCTTTCTCTGATTTGAAATGTCTCCAGCTCGCACTAACTCACTCCGTGTTTTCTTACTGACAATCATTTGACCCAACGCGTTAGTGTGTTACAGCTACAAACAGAGATGTTCAGGCGTGTGCTGGACAAAATATCCCCAAGATCTTGCAGTGATCTTCTTACTCATCACCAGTTTTAGAAACATCTCACAAAAGCAGCCGGCATTTTGTGACTGCGGCTCTATGTCTGTGATTTTTTTTTTTTAAACTCCCAGATCAGAGCTCTAGAGCCCCTGATCCTCGCAGTTCACAGTTTACTACTGCACTGCACTGCTGGGCCACTCAGGCCTCTGATGAACGTAAGCTCTCTGTGTATGTGTGTGGGTGTGTTTCTATGCAGAATGTGTACTGCATCTAAAGTGTAATGATGTGTCGCAGTGTCAGTGAGTGTGTGTGCTTGTGCATGTCTCTCCAGTGTTGAGAATAGGGACGCACGTGTGGAGTCTGTATGTGAGTGTGCGTGCTCACATTTGTAGAGAGTCTATGTTCTAGAAAGTCCATCCCATTGCTTACAGCACCACATTCACCTTCACGCGACCTTCGACCTGTCCACCCCCTCCCTCTCATGTGGCGATGTTGGCGATGCTGTTGCGTAGCTGGCATGGGATGGCTCGGCAGTGCATGTGTTGTGGCTGTGGCCCGGTGGTTGTAAAGCCAGCTGCTTCTACCATCGTCTCTCAAACAGTGGACCTCCTTGACAATAACACAGGGCTCTACTGTGTTATGCTTTTTTAAAAACTTTTTTCCAAAAGGGAGCACACATACTCCTAAAATATAAATTTCCAAGCACAAGAAAGAGCTGCTCTCAGTGAAATTTAATGATTTAACACTGTGGAATTTGCACATGTACTTTAGTTCAAACTAGTGAGTGTTTGAGGAGGATATGCGAGCATTGTAGAACCCTGATAGTAAACTCAAAGTGAGCTCCTGAACTCAGGCCGTCCATTGTGTCTTCCTAAAACGAATACTCTAATCAGCCACAACATTTAAACCAGTTACCAGTTTTTAATGGTTCAGCTGCTGGTTTAAATGTTGTGGCTGAAAGGTGTATTTTTCCATTCAGAACAAATGCTGCAATGTTTTTGAATGGAGGGCACATTGTGTATAAATGTGTAGATGGATACATGCTTTTGTGCAGGGCTTCAAAGTGTCCATAGTGTTCTTCATGGCAAGAGCTGAATTTGTGTTCCAAAACTCACTCATGTTGTCATGTGCACGGGGCCAAGAGAGGTTGTCAATCCTAGTCTGTGTCAGCTTCGTACTAGTTTGTAGCTGGTCTCTGTGCTCTGTACTTCCTCTGTTCCAGCACGAGTGTATCATGGAGTCTGACACTTTGTTTTACTCTGTGACTGAGAGCTGGAAATGTTTATTTTTTTACCTCGTAGGTCGCTGGAAGTCAGACACTGAAGGAGTCAGGGAAACCTGTCAAGGTTGCAGAAAGTGATGTGGATGTAAGTACAAGCTTAACCACCTCTTACAGCGTTAGTGTCATTAACTTAAGACCAGCTCTAATTTTCAAACTGTCAATGAAGTTCTAATTTTGGTCCATTTTAAATCAACACTATTTAATGTTTACCGAGCAACAGCGCCCTCTGCAGTCACACATGGTGATTAATTCTGTCGGGCTCCAAGTCCGAACGACTAAGTGGTTTTCATGTACGGAAAAAAACTAAGTCTACCAGTCTGTTGATCAGAGCTCTGACTGCATAGTCCCACTCACTGAGGCTGTCAACCTTTCTCCTTAATTCTTTCCAACAGTCCTTCCTCTCACTGAACTGAAGCACATTGAATGGTGCATATTACCCATGATCCCCAGCTTCCTGAACCATCAAATAAACTCTGTTTAGAATTCTGATATTTTAAACATTTCCTCACTCAATATTAAAAAACTTTCAAGTCTTTTTTACTGATGTACAGTCCAGCATTACTTTTAAACTCGATGGACCTGATTCTGGTCATTTAAGATGTGACTATCAGTTAGTTGCACACTTGTTATGGGAGAATGTACCTGCTCACCAAAGTTATATAGAGAAAGACCAGGTGTTCTGGGGGAGGAGTGGGAATGAAAGAGGAATCATTCTTCCAATAACAAGTCAGTGAAAGTCATCAAACTCATTTTATGGTAAAAAAGTTGCATAGTGTCTTTAACATGTAAGATTTTGTTAAAACTGAGAGGAAGGACAATTCTGCATTTAGTTTTTTGCTACTTTTGCTATTTTCTTATTTTTTACTGCACTTGTTTGGGTTTTCAATCTGGTTCTGTTTCACGCTCAGAGCTCTTTCTTGGGACAAGCAAACACAAAATTCTGGTTTGGATGCTTTAGCCGAGTGTGGAGGATGAGGTAGGCTTTTGCTATAGCTTCAGGGGGAAAACAGCATGCAGAGAGTGTTAGTAGGTAAATACCATAACTCTTCTAAATGTTATAATCCAAACAATTTCCTGTAGCTATTTATATAGTCTTGTTTTCTCTCATGAAATGATTTCTCACTATAAGCTCCACACACATCTCTGTAAAGAATTTATGAGGTTGTTGTCTTTGATGAATATTTGATTAGATCCAACAACAACATCACCGTGGAGATAACAACAGGATTAATAATTTATTTGATGGAATATAAAAACTAGCATAGAGAGTCAAAATTGATGTGGATCAGCACTTTGTTCTTATCAAACTGCTCAATCACAACCTTGTTACACCGCTGTTGTGTTTTTTTTACCGCTGGAGAATAGAGATCCAACCTTTGCTTTGAAGTTTGCCGAGTTTAATCTGGGATTAATAAACAAGGCTCAGAGTCTCCCTGACACTGTAATTAACAGGGTCAGGTGGGTTGCACCCGCTTTGTCTAATGGGCTCTCTCACAGTAATTACACATGCACTAGTCCAGCAGAGCCACAAAATGATGAATATTTAGTGTTACACGCCAACAAGCCCGCACCCATACGCCGTACATACGCATCATATTACAAGCTCGCACAATCACACACCCAGGTACACAAAGAAGTGCACATATAGATTTATTCCCAATGGAAGGGGCTGCAATTAAGTAAATGGTTCACTTAAATATCAGAGGTTAAAACACAGGCACACCTGGGTGATGGCTTGAGAAGCAGTTTATCTGAGTGAGTGCACATTTCTTTCACTATCCCCTGTAGTTCTCCCTACCCACACAGCTCTGTGTCTCCACCTGCAGGTGAAATTGAGTCGGTTATGTGAGCAGGACAAGATCTTGAAGGATCTGGAGGCGAGAATCAGCTCCCTGAAGGACGACAAGGTACACACACAAACTCTGCTAGTTATTGTGTATAAGCTCTCAGTCAACCAAACCATTGTTCTTAGTCACTCTGATGAGTCAGAAGTGCTGGTAAATTAGAAGAAATGTTACATGATGGTGAAACATTCAAGGACAGAGCTGACTGCTGCTGTCCGTTGAGCTACAGAGGTGTGAGTCACCTATCACACTCTCAGTAAAATAACATTCATAGTTATTCAGAGGAAATTCTATAGAAGGAGAAGCACAGATAGTGATTTGTTAGATGCTGGCTCTAGCAGGGCTGTCACTATTAGCTCTATACAGCTCTGACCAGTCACCCATGACCAGCTACTGAAGGTTTATGCCTTGGATGTTGAACACACAAAAAATAAATGTAGTATATTATACTAGATGTACTGGAATGAAAGAATCATAGTATGCGTCCCTGCAGTTCAGTATGAGAATTCCAAAGATGTTGACAATAGAGACCTGCTGCCCTCTGGAGGCATTTTGGGATACCTGTTTCATGCTGAAGTCATTGTCTAGAGCAGTAAGTGAAGCAGTTCTGGTTTGTTTTGGTTGACCTCATGCTGCTTTAACCCTCACTCCTTCAGGACAAGCTGGAGAGTGTACTGGACGTGTCCCACCAGCAGATGGAGCAATTCCAGGAGCAGCCGGCCCACGCCCACAAGATCGCCTATCAGCAGAGGCTGCTGCAGGAAGACCTGGTCACCATCAGGGCCCAAATATCACGCCTCTCCACTGTAAATAAGTTTGTTTAAAATACTGTTGCTCTATTTTACTCTACAGTATTTGTACAGTTTGGAGGAATTGTGTGTGTGTGTGTGTGTGTGTGTGTGTGTGCGTGCGTGTGAGAGAGAGATAAAGAGAGATAGGGTCTGTATATATATATATATATATATATATATATAAGTGTACATATGTAACCTGTGTGTGTGTGTGATGCAGGAGATGGCACAGGCCTGGGAGGAGTACAGCAGGCTGGAGAGATCAGTAGAGCAGTTGAGGACAGTGCTGCAGACACATATGAACCACAGCGCCACCCCTCAGGTGAGGTCTGGTTCTGCAGCTCAGGGCTGGTCCACCGCCACACAGCCAGCTCAATTTCAAAATGTACATACTCTGTATCTCCACATTTTCTTTTCAACCTATTTACAGGCTAAATTATATGAATGATCAAATGTGTGACATAGAAAGTTGAACCAAGCCAGACGTGAAAGCTTCAAATACCAAATGTTTGCCTGCTTGTGTCAAACTGTAGCAAGAGAAAGCTGAGATGAAGCGTGAGCTGTGGAGGATCGAAGATGTGATGGCAGGACTGAGCGCGAGCAAAGCCAACTACAAGATCACCATTGATTCTGTCCAGAACCCAGGTAGTAAAATCCATTCAGTGTCTTCTTTATTGATATAAAATACATGCTTTACAAATACAAAAAGACGGAAAGAGAGTTTTTAAGATGCAGTGATACTAACGTAATCTTCTATGCACATAAAAATAAAGGGAAACAACAATTTCCTTTAACTGTATTATAAATATGTGAGGTGCCACACACACACACACACACACACACACACACATATGTAAATAATATACAGGCTACTAAAGATTCTCTTTATAGCTGAAACTCTCTGCACAGTGTTTCCATCAGTAAACAGCTTTCTGTTGTTTATATTTACATATGCTTTAGTTTAGAGGAACTGATTCTGTAAGAGTACTCTACAGTTAACTTGGTTATTTGTTGAGTAGCTTTTGGCTGCATTTGTTGAAATCTGTTTCTAGATGTCTGTTTTTCCTCTTCTCAGAAATCCAGATTTTAAATCCACATAAAGAAACTGCTAACATTCAAAAGCTAATTCTCGATTTATCTGTGTTTGCACACCACCCCAGAGAGGAAATTAGTGCCTTCAGTGTCGGACCCTGCAGTGCCTTCTCATTGCACAGAGGTCCAGCCTCCTCCTCGCAGCTCCATCCCCAGGATCCTCTCTCATACTTTGCCTCACAGCACCGTGCCAAAGTGGGTGAGTGTCTCCCTTCTGTTTGTGACAGAGCAGAGATGGCTTCATGTTAAATCTCAGGAAGTACAGCTGGATTTAGTTTGATTGTGTTTATTAGTTACTCTACAAGTACTACTTCCTAAACTTTTTTCATTTTAATTTCTGCAGTCTCAGGCAGAGGACAGCGCCCCTCCCCGACCACCACTGCCCCGCCTCTATGACTACGAAGAGACGCCCCCTGTGGTGCCTCCTCTGCCCAAAGAGGCCTCAGTCATCCGCCATACGTCGGTGCGTGGACTAAAACGCCAATCAGATGAGAGGAAGAGGGACAGGGAGAGTGGGCAGTATGTCATCAATGGAGACAGTAAGGTACGCTTGTGTTTTGTTTTTTAGTTTTTTGGTTTAGAAATCTCTTCCTGGGACTGTTTGATTGACTCTGACTTCCTGTCTAACCTTTGCTGGTTTCAGGCTGACTTGCGATCTTACCTGAGTGAACCAGAGCTGCCAGGAATGAGTCACCACAACACTGGCTCTGACGTTGACTACCAGTATTTCCCAGGCAAAGGTATCTGATCAGCAACATGTGAAATGATTATACTGCACATGTCTCCTTTATCAAACCATTTTATTAAGGCCAGTGATGACCCATTAGTGACCAACAACCTATTTTAAAATATAAAAGCATACATACTGAGTAGCATCCTATCATACAATTAATTCCACTTCATTTCACTTTCATCAAAAGTGTATTGTGATGTGCTTCATACAAAAAACATTTTTTCTCACTGGAAACATGTTTTTTATGTTGCTGCTGAGGATGGACGTTTGAGGAATGTTGATTTCAGCTGGCAGCTAGTCTCCTTTGACAAGAATATTTGTCAGTTAAAATGTGGAAAATGTGGAATTCAACTTCTCTTTCAGTAAATTTGTTTCACAAGAGAAGCCTGATGTTTCAGAGAGAAGGTCCAGATTTTCCTTTATTCAAAGAAAGAATCTAATTTTGTGTAGATGAGATTGAGATGAGATGTGTAGATTTCTCACAATTATATTTTATAATTATGATACATTTTGAGCAAGGTTTTTTGTTTCGCCTAAAGTACAATTTCTGTTTTTGCATTGTCACAAACTAAATGAAAAAAAACTGTTTGTTATAAACATCAACATCAAACGTTATCTAGGTCTGTCAGCCTCTTCGTCTCTGAACCAGTCCAACAACATCTCGTCCTACGTCACCCTAAGGAGAGGTCCTGGGAGAGCAGCAGCCAGGGTGAGTCAAGGTGGATGGAGGTGTCAGATAATTCCTGTAAGCATTAATAGCTTTATTGTACGATATTAAAAGCAACAGTGAAGTATTTCATCAAAGACAGTCATCATTCAGTTTACAGCTCAAAGACACATTTAAGTGTGCAGTATCACTTGAATGGAATGTTCAGGGCTTCAGATGTGGATAACAGTTTCAAGGGCAACATCATCAAGCATTATAGACAATATCCTATCTAATGATACAATTAGGTTCTGCTGTATGGAACCAGGGCGGTTCACACCTAAAAGTCTGGATCATGGTTGAAGTCTTTGTTACATTATTTAGATTTGATCCGTTTAGTTTTGGTTCATATTTTAATGGGATTAGTGGACTAAAGAATTTTGTATGACATACATACCCTATTATCATCACCTACTTTGGCTGCATTTACCTATACTTGACTTGTCCCGACAGTTGGATCAGGCTACCTTGATACCCTAAACTTTTGCATGTTGACACAGTGGAAGGCTGTAGCTATATAGCATTTTTATATAGTAGTTTAGACAATTCGAAATAGAATGCAAATTACGTTAATATCCTGTCTTATTGTGGGAACGGCTGCTTTGTAGATATGTAGATCACGTATTGTATTTGCTAACTTTTTTGAATAAAGTACATAGAGAAAAAGTAGCTTTCTGTTTGAATGGAGAAAATGAATAAACTGCTTCACTTTGTTAATATTGTTGCCACAGTAATATCATTACTGTATTACTAATAGTAAAATAAGCATCTTTGTCATTTAATAGTTGGTCGGAAAGTCTGAACTGTCCAAAAGAAATATATGAACCACGGTTCAGTTTGATCTGGAGTGACAACACCTATTTTGGTCAGACAAAATTTGGTTCCGTCCTCTCTACTAACCACCCATCTCCTTATGTTCCCATCCTGGCACTGGCAATGACACTGTCTGTCCTGCTTCCCTGTCTCCCCAGGAGAGACCTAAGAGTGCCTTGGAGCGCCTGTCATCACCTACAGAAGCCTCGCAGCTCCCGAGCAGCCAGCCTCGAGGCCGAATGACCGCGGAGGAGCAGCTGGAGCGGATGAAGCGCCACCAGCGCTCGCTGGTCCGCGAGCGCAAGAGGAACCTCAGCCAGGGGGACCGCTCCTGCACGGGCCTCTCCACCGTCACCACCCAGCACTCCTCCTCCAGGATGCCCTCCACCTCCTCTGATGCTCCCGCCACCGTACGTTACCCCCCACCCCGGCGCAGCAGCAGCAGACACAGGGAGCACCACCTTCAACCCCCCTGCTGCTAAGCCATCCTCAGTCACATAATAACCTTGCAGGAATGCTAACACGCTAGCACTGTCTGCCATGTAACCAGTGGTTGTTGACATTGGCCGTAAGCACTAACACCCTGATGAGCCGGACGTGGGTGCAGCTGGTTAGCTAGCTTGGTTAACGCTTTAAGAACAATGGGAGACAAAACGAGGGGGACTGAGATGCAATGCTTGGCTGGTATATTTGGACTGGGACAGAGTAGCTCCCTGTTTATTTTTTTAAAGGGTCAAGGGTTAAAGTAAACCTTGTTAACACTGCCCCCTAGTGGGACCTCACTGACACAATTCTGAATGTAAATCTATTGAGTAAAGGAGGGAAAGGAAGGTGTCACACTTCCTACCTTCCTCTGTTTTAGCACCAGGAAATAGAGAGAAGAGCCCATCTATGTAAATCTACATACCGTGTACTAGTACACTTTTATTTATTTACTGAGGGATATTTTCAGTATACAGTTGTACAGTTCTATTTTGTAGAGATTTGGTATATAGTACCTATAGATGAGTGGCGGAAATGTTGGGAAATAGAAAGAAACAAGTTTTCAGGTTGATGAAATGAAGTAAGAGGCAATGCTAGTGGCATAAATCATGATCATACCTCCCTGCTTTCTTTTCTTCAGGATAAATCAAAGTGCCTTTTTTTGCTGATGATCTTTTTGCCTTTGTCCCAAATTTACCTCCTTTAATCAACATTAGAATCAATGATGGTTTGTTTAACGCACATACGTCTCCACTGCAGAATCTTAGGAACGATGAAGAGCTAGCATTGAGGAAGATGTAGACAACTAAAGGACGACTTTGACATGTAAACTAAAGCTAGCTTACCGCTGCATGTGCCCCTTGGTTTCAGTGGAGGATGCTAGCAATGCTAACATGCTTGAGGGGGAAAAGCAATACAGTAACACTCAAAATGTCAAACACTTCTACCAAGATAAAATGATATAACTACATATATTGTAATTATTATTACAGGTTCACAGACTGCTATGAGATATGCCTGTAATCAAACTACATTTCCCACAAATCCTGGCTATCGAAATTCTCTAACTGTCAGGAATACATAGTCTGTTATCTTCTGCCACTACATCATCCCCTCTTTTTAGTGCATATAACCATGAACCCTAGAGCTTATTTTATTTTATCTACTCCACCAGCGCAAAACATGTTTACACAGTTTTATATTTGAATTAACATCTCATTAACACAGCCTTTTCTTCTACGGAAGGTTTACTTTTGTCGTTTTTCAGTGGTTGAGAATGACATTGCCGAGACTAAAGTTGGGAGGAGAAGCTTTACTCTAATCTGAGTACTTTTTAAGTGGCCTATGCTGTGCTGTTTTATGCAATGTAAATATAGAGGAAAGGTCCGAGCAACTGGGCTGAAAAGCAATAATGAGTATGAACAAGGAGCAGACATCTTGTCATGGGAAATGTGTGTGGAAAGACAGATTGGACAGTTTAGTATGTACAGTGGCAAATCTTGACTGCTTTTCATTAAACAAATCTAAAGCTAGGGTTGGTAATCCTGGAAAAATACTAGCGAGAGCGGGATACACTTACAAAAAAATGCAACTCAACTCATACTTGGTTCTTGATGGCGCTGCTGTCCTCTCCTTGTTATTCTGACAAGTATTAATCTGGAAAGCTTTTCTGCCATATTGCTTTTATCCTTCCAAAGCTACGTACAATATCAAAGAGAAAAATAGTTCCAGGAAGTTACTCAACTGAAGAGAAGAATTATAATATAGAAGCATAGAGACATGAACAGCTTATCACCAACTAATTCTGTGTAACTGGGAAGCGACGCACAACTCTTCTCCCTTTTCTTTTCTATCATGTAGAGATTTGCACTTGACAATAAAGAGTTTCCGGCTTCTGAACCTCCTCTTGGCTGTGTTCTTCCTAATCTGGTGGGGTTTGATGAATCTGTGTCTGCATGGTTTTCTTTCTCTCTCTGTCCTTTTTTGCGGGCAATTGATTCTCTTGAGCTCAACAAGGCATGGGATGCAGTGTTTCTCAGAGCATGTGAGCACGACAACAGATCAGACTCTGCTGCAGGCTACTGAAGCGGGAAGGATGCATGCATGGCTTTGATGCCCCTTGGATGGATACTCACAAGTACCGCTCACCACACACACACACACACACACACACACACACGCACAATGGTGAACATTAAAGGAGAAAGATGTACAGAGACTAATCATCGGCTGCGATAATTACACATCGTTATTTCAAATGTCTGGAAAAAACGTCTCGCTCTAGTTATTCTTGGAAGCTGAGAAACATTGAACCATATTTGTCGCCTACCTGAGGCACAGCTCACTGCGGCAGCAGCGTTCCATATTTAGCCAAAAAGCCTCTGAGGTAATTCTGTATGTAGTCATTTTATACACAGCAGTGCTATTACAGATGTTAGCCCACTGCTTTCAGTCACAGAAATATGGTCACTGCTCTTCTTGTCTTCCACTGCTCCATCTGGCTTTATCTTTGCTTTCACTTGATTGAAGAGTAAACATGTTGTAAGTATGTTTTTAATTAACCATCACTGATCTATAAATTACTTGGGCTGCTAATAGTGATTACAAAATCAATTAATACGACACATTTGTTCAGTAACTCTGGTGTTTTGGGATTAATTTACCCACATGCAGAACGCACATTGTTTTTCTGAGTCATTGTGTAACTCTGACTGCTCATTCTAGGTGTTTGATTGGCGAGAGGAGCGACTGGGAGCAGAGGGTCAGAGCGATGAAGGATGGAACCAAGTGAGAGAGAGAGGCAGGATTCAGTCTGATGAGTGGGTGACGTTGACGGCCACACACGTACGAGAGGTGGACGTGGAGCCGCTCGACTACGACCTGGATATCAGCCGAGAGGTAAAGCACACATCAGACGAGAAGTCAATCATGAGGAATTCTAGTGGCAGCTGATTTCAGAGGCAGTCGTTCATTGAGGACGTCACAGGATCGAACGTGTCAAAAGATGGTGATAAAAATAATGATAATAATAATAATCCTGCTCAGTTGTAATGCATCTCACTTCCTCTTCGACACCATCCATACGCTTACACAACATGGAAAGATGTACAAGTGTTATTTTCCACTTTTATGTCTTCTTCTGTCTGATCTTGTGATTACACAAAATATGTAAATCAGTTTTAGCCACATATTTGTGTATTTGCTGACCAAATGAATTCAGATGAAAGTTATAATTTTATCCACAGCCTGCCACTCATGAGAAAAGATGTACAGTACATCACTATGCTCAAGGGGATTGAATTCTCCGACTGTTTGAGAGATCAAAACACAGAGACTGTCTGGGTCAGTTTTATGAGACAGGCTTTGTTTGGAGCAACCTTGTTCAAATCCTTGTCTGTGCTTGCTCCAGAACTTTGTGCCCACATCAGTTAAAAAGCAATCACATTCGTATTTTGAAATGTTTATTGCAGCAGCAGAACATAGTGTTTGGCGTCTATGCTTCGACTTCATCACTTCCCCACATATTATTACATTAATATAAATGGGAGTGATAAACAAATATTTGTCGAGCCCAAGCAAAGGAGAGAGATGGAAAATCTTAAATAGGCCGCCAAATTGGGAGCGTGTGAATTATAGAGGGTTGTGGAGAGTGAGGCAGGTCACATGATCGATGCAGCTTGAGTTGGCTGCCTGGACTTGCTCCCAAGCCTCGCTCCATTTATGTTTGTGTTTTAATCAATGTATTTGAAAACCCTTTAAAAAGCAAATTTTCACAAGCACGAGTTAGATATCTTGTGAATAGGACTTCTGTTCTTTTCATTTTGCATAGTAAATTTTCCTGATGTTATAAAAGCTGATTTCTTGATTTGGATTATTTCATGTGAGTTATTTTTAAGGTTTTAATTTAAGTTCCACAGGTTTAGCTCCTCTGACTTAAAGGTTCAGTGTGTAGAATTAAGTGACATCCTGTGGTAAGGTTGCATGTTGCAGCTGAATACCCCTCATCTCACCCTCCCCTTCCAAACAGGAAAGACAACCTGTGGTAGCCTTCAGTTGTCCTAAAAACTCAAAAGGTGTTTGGTTTGCCAGTTTGGATTGTGAAAAACATGGCGGCCTTCATGGAGAGGACCCTCTCCTGATGTAAATATAGTATTTAAATATAAAGGGCCCATTCTGGGGTAAAGACAACGACAATTTAGATGAAACACACTAGTGAAAACATCACTAGCGTTATTTTACATTGAATTTCTGCTATTAGATTCACTTTCAACTAAATCTTACACACTGGACCTTTAACGGAACAATCCCATTTCATAATCTAAAAGGGAATTCTTTAATATCATCGTGGAATTAACAGGGTATATTACCAAGCAAGTTTCATAATTCATTGTTTATCTCCACCATGGGACCACAGTGTAAATCTGTCTATCGAAATATGCAGCTGTCCAAACCACAAAAAGTTCCCATCCCGGAGCGCTACATAGAGTCTGACCCTGACGAGCCTGTAAGTCCAGAGGAGCTGGTGGAACGCTCTCGTCGGGCCGAGCGCATCAAGAACCTCCTGGCCAGATCCAGGTAGATGACACACAAATAAATACACTAGAGTAAGGTTGAGTAAGGGTGTTAATGTTTTACCACTAGGGCCATGTTAGTTTTTTTAGGATCTTTTTTTTTGAAGCCTGAAAAGTAACATATCATTGACCATTATTGACATGATCGTTCAAACTACCTCGATATTGCTTTTAAAGGACACTGACAATGAAGTAAATGTACCACTGTCCTCCAGTGGGCTTATTTTACTGATTAGTCAGTAGTTTTAGTCGTCAATACACTTTCAGAAACTCAGTTTGACAGTCCTGTCCATGTGTGCATCATCTTGACAGTGTTCAGAACATGCAGCCATCTGCACCACTAGACTTCAGTGAGCTGGACTCGGCCCTGAAGCAGCAGGAGAGGATCATGACAGTGTCCCACACGCTGGCTTCAGAGGCATCGCGCAAGAGCAAACTGGTGGCAGGTTAGTGTTCACACCCCTTCATGAACAACATGCATCCTCTTAGCTTTGACCTCAGCATCAACCTTCAAATGTATCGAATGTGGCGTCCCCTTTACACCCCAGTTTAAACAATCCAAGACTTTACCTCAAAACCAAGTCAGCCCTCGTACAGCCTCATCCGCAGAAATGTCCAGCTCTGCGAGTGAAAACCTCCAATTAATTCTTACAAAGATATGAATACACACACACACACACACACAAACACACACACACACACACACACACACACACACACACACACACACACACACAGTGAATATAACATGATAAATCTGCCTTAGACTGGCATCATGTGATGTGTCGTTGTCCCTGGTGTGCAGGGCCTGAGTGGCTGGAGAGTCGGTGAGCATGTCTGGTCAAGGTATATCTGCCATTTCCCCTTCTTGTGCTGTGGATTAATCAATGTTTGTTGTCAGATCAGAACTGTGCACAGCTTACATTGTGAAGAGCCACAAACACCACTCACTGACACCTTTCTTTTTAAATGTCCCAGTGATGCTTACAAATCACATGATTCACCTCTGACAGCACATTTGGTTTGGTGTTGGGAATTTCTTCCTTGTTCATATCAAGTCAGTGTAAAAACAAAAACCTGTGTGGAGTGCTGTTTTCTTTGTCTTTAGAAAGGGCTGCTTTGGTGAAATGTGGTGACCTCTTTTTGTGTAAGTGGTGTTTTGGTGCGAGTTGTGTGTTTTTGTTTCTTTCTTGCAGGTATAAGAATATATTCACACTATTCATGCACATTGGTTTATGCAGCTCCTGTGTTTCCTGTGAATATAGCATTTTACTGGTGTCAAGCAGTCTAGACCAGTTGTGGTGATCCCTGTTTGTTTTATTGTCCATATTGGCATCCTGCAGAGTTTATACCACTGTCCCCTTATGAAACAACAGTTAAATTCACTACATCTGGATTTTTGCTTAGCCCTGCACCAAATTTTACACACTCAAGATCAATGATCAATCATCAAGATCAATGAATTATAAATGATTGATAAATTGATAAATTAATCCAAATTTGGAAAAAACTATCTCATAAATTTGAAGAAAAAAAATTAATAATGCCTCCGCCCCCTGATTTGAATCTGCACCTAAATCCTCCTCCTCCTCCTCCTCCACACAATTTCATGGAAACAGGTTGAGTAGATTTTGTGTAATCCTGCACACAAAGGTGGAGGGGGATGACAGAGGTATCACACATGTTAAATTACACAAAACTATAAACTGTTCAAAGAGACTGGGAGCTGTTTGCTCTCATGGAGGCTGCTGGAAACCTGTTAAAATCATACATTCTTATGCAAGTGAAATGTGTGGTTCATTTGCATAAACACGTCTGTAAATGAAAGGTGTGTTTGCATGATTTCATTTCTCTTTGTGTTTCCTTCTTCTCAGCCAAAGCTGCTGCAGAGCACTGACCCGCGCCACCAAACAGGAGGAAGGAGTGAAGGATCCAATCATTTCTCAACTAACCGATTCACTTGTTACGAAGCCCACTCATGTGACGAAGAGCTACATCCATGTTTCTAACAGTGTGTCGAGTTGTAGTTTTTAAATAGCCCCAATTTTTTATTGCTTCAGCACTTACACTGCACAGTTAAGTCATAATTTATAAACAAGTAAATTGCTCTTTTTAAAAAGAACAAAATCTACAATTTCCTGTTCTGCAGTTTGCTCTATATTTTTCTGAGTGACTAAAATGAGTGAAATAAAAGCCTGCTCAGATAACTGCAGTAATGTTTTCACATGGTTTATTTATTATGTGGCTTATTTTTGATGGTGTTATTTCTACTGTATAGTTTCTCAACACTGTCAGCCAACGATCACGGTCCTGTCGACTTCGAGCATCAATAATAGAAATAAAAGGAAAGTCAGCACACAAAATAAATACTACATTAAACCAGCTCATTATTTGTTGTCTATTTCCTTGAAATGTCTGTTTCTCACAGTTATACAATCATTTGTGTGGTGCAGGTGCACTAACCAGAAGGTCAGTAGTTCGATCCCCGGCTCCTCCAGTCTGAACCCCAGACTGCCCCTAATGGTGTGGGATAGAAGTACTGAATGAATGTGTGTGAATGAGAAAATGTGACTTGTTCTGTGAAGTGCTGTGAATGGTCGATAAGACTGTAAAAGTGCTTTATAAATACAGAACATCTTACACAGCACAACATCTGTGTGACGTCAGTGTGAGGAGCAGACTGGTGTGTGTGGCAGAAATAAGTCTCCTTTGGCAGGGACGGAGCAGCAGGAGGAGGAGCAGAGGTCAAAGTCAAGGAAAATAGGACTAAGCTGAAATAGCTAATTCATAAAAAAGATGTTTTACACAAGATATAAATTAAACTGTCATCCAGAGAGAATTCTGCAGGGAAAATGGAATGCAATGTTCAATCTATGTAAATGTTTTATGCACATTTACATTTATTATGGGTATTCAAGTTTGGCACAGAGTTGATACAGACGTTCAGACGGCTGGGCGTGAAATATTTTCAGGTGAGTGTTGGCGTCTGAAGATGTTGTGTAGTAGCAGCTGATAATCCAGCTCTTTCAGAGGCAGATATGGCTGAATATTATTGTAGCAGGAAGTGTATTTGCTGTGACACAATCATTAGCCTTTGTTTTCCCCTTGATTCCTTGATAAGCCGCTCGCATATCTGTGCGCTCACCTATCAATTTGTTGAAAAGAACACATTGCTACAAAGATTTCAGTTCCTCTTATTTCAAATATTCAGTCTTCAACCAGCCTTCTTCCAACAGTCTGCTAAATTCGGGGTGAAACCCTCCGTGCATTGTGAGGAGCTTCCTTGTCTTGATATCAGTGGCCTCTCTCTCTGTGTTTGTGGTTTCCTGCAGGATCTCGTGGTATTCGTCACTGTCCTGGACACCGGTTGTCTTCTGGTAGCTCAGTCCCCTCAGTTCTGATCATCTTGTAATCTGTGAATGACCTTCTGATATGTTTGCTGTAGATTCTGCGGATGTGGATCAGTTGCTGCCTCTCCTGACACACAGCTTGATGCCACCCATGTAAAGGAGGTGGCTGATGGTTGCTCCGCTCTTTGTGCTGCTCGGTAAATGATACACTTGTTGAATTAACTTTGAGTTGGCCTCTAAATTCGTTCTCCACCGTCCTGTTGAGTTCTTGATGAAGGCACCTAGTGTCCTGTTGATGTCGTATATTCCATGTTATATATAACGGAGGATGATACACAGAATCCTCTTCAACAAAAAAAGTCAAAGCTGCTGTGTTTTCACTTTATTTCAGCTGAGACTTATTTGCTGTCAAAAATATCCAGCCTCAGTCCTCAAAAGTGAAAAACAAGTTAATCTTGTGTTAGAATCATTTGCTCAGTGTTTGATTCGGAGGCATAATAATCACAAAGGAATGAGACAATAACCTTCACACAGTATATCTTGTTTTTGTGGCTGAGTGTCAGCAGGAAATCTGCGCTGTCTCAGCAGTAATTAGAGAATAATGAAACTGGCATGTTACACTGGTGTTCTGCAGGAAATTAAAAGAGAAACCAAATCAAACATTAAATGTGGTTTTGCGTTTCAAAAAGAAAAACTAGCTCTGATGATGACAGCAGAGGATCTCAACCCTGTTCCCTATGTTAGTTTACCTTAGTTTTACAATATATGTAGTAAATATGTGTTATTTTATCTGGATCAAACTGTTGAATTAGTTTTTTCTTCCGTCTCTTTATTCAAGAGTGTGCTCTTTCAGTTTGAGTGCAGGACTCAAAACCCTGCGCTTGCGCTCAAACAGCCCCTTTGGCTATTTGAGTGCGAGCGCAGCGTTTTAAAACCAATTTTTCAAATGTAGCTTTTATATGTTTAAAATCACTTAAGTTTGCAGATGAATTCTGAATGATATGGCTTTATTTGTGCACTCTTGCTTTGAGGTCCTGCTATAACATAATTGCATCCAGCTCTTTTGATAGATTTGTCTCACACACTTTACTGCCACATGTTTCTGCTCGGGGGTTTAACATTTTTATATATTTTAAAGAAAGTAAAACTTGTTTTCTGTCAAACTGCTTGGTGACTCTGAAACCCAGAACATGTTGAGCGCAGATGAAGTTAAGTCTAAAGGTTATTTATTACAACTCAGAACACACGTCTAAATGCACATACAGCGAAATTCACCTGTTCTCCTGCTCAAGGTGTTTTCAGGTGTTTTCAGTAATAATATTAAAGTGATATAATACAATTCTAAAACTGACAGATCATAATTTTTCAAGAAACGCATGAAATATGTTTGAAGTACACAAACCTGAAATAATTGAGACGTGTCAGTTATTGTCCGTTTGGCTGCACTGGTTAATATACACATAATATTTACATATATCTGCATTACCAGTTCCAATGTAAAATATATTCTATCATCTCTCAGTGAATAGTTTCAACAAACATGTCAAAATAAAATTAACAACCTCTAGAGAGGAAATCCAGAGGCCTCCTGATGATTTTAAATTTTTACATCATTTCATTAGGGTTTTCTGTTCAGTTTACATTCCCCCAGCAGAACATTCATGATACTGATCAGACTGAGAGCTTCCACGGAAATTACAGCTGAGTGACACTTCCCTTTATTGATGTTTAAACAAAGTAAGAACTGGACCATACGGCATCTAAACATGGTCTAACACAAATTAATCAAACTTAACCTACAGACATAATTTCATGACAACATGCACACCACGATGAGTTGAGTGCTTGTGTAGAGAAATCATTTCCACAGAGTAAAAGAACTACAATGATGGATCATCAACAACAGTTTAACAAATAATGTCAAAATGTACAAATTTGAGATTACAAAAAGTAACTCCTCGCTGGCCCTTCCGTTGGCCCTACGCCGACTTCACAAAGGTCATTTTGAAGCCGTGTTTTGGTTCCTCGCTCCTGCTGTCAGAGCTGCGCTCAGCCGGGTCTGAGGTTTGTTCCTTGTTGACAGGACTGGAGGCTTTGTCCTGCGCGTCTGTGGGTTCTTTTTCACTAGTGGACTTCACTGGCTCAGGTTCTTCTGTCTGATTGTCCACTGGTGGAGCAGGGAGTGAATCTGGCAGTGGCTCAGGCTGTGGATAAGAACATGAGAGATGAGATTTTCTTTCCACAAATAATCTGTGAGCGAACATAACCTCTTAAATCTTTGGATCTACAGTGATCAGCCAAATATTCACTGATATTTTTCCCTAACGAACACGAACACACACAAACACACACACACCTCAGATTATGACACAACGCAGTGTTTTAACTTCATTGTTGAAGAAAAAGCGATGCCCCGTTTATCCAGGAATATAAATATGAATTCAGCAGTTTTTTTAAAGATCATTTCTAACTGTGATGATTAGAAAAACATCAGAGGAGCAGAGACACTTGTTGACCTGCGGAGAAATGCACCTCAGTGCGGTGGTGCAGTTCATATTTGTCTGACTGCTGAACCGTAAACGAATCGTGAGGCTAGTGAAGGTGCACACCTCAACTGTTCACTTTTAATCAGCGAGAGGGTGAATAAAACATTTGCTTCCTGTGGCGAAGCGAATCTGCAGAAAGGTTTTGCATGGAGTTTAACTTCTGTGAATTTTGACCCACACATTTTTTTTCATTCACGTGTGTCTGACTGTGCCCTGACTGTCATTCTTTGCCTGAAGCCCCAGCACTCATTTAAAACTGAAACGGAATTTCTGAACAATTCAGATGATGCTCTGACTATTTCAGATTGAATTTATGAACGCCCCCTTACTATCATGTTGTATCATTTAATGAACTCATAGCCTTCATAGGCATACATACCATGAACTGTGAGCTACATGATGTCAGACTGTTTCACTTGTGCCAACAACTGCTAGAGCAGTGTCTCAGTAGTTGATGTGGGTCTGCATCTGCATATTTAAGTGAGAGCAGCCTCTCTCACATACATTCTCACACTGTAATAGAGATCTTGTACTATTTCGAACTATGCAGCATAGCTTAATAAGAAATCAAGTTCTTAAATGTCCAGTGTGTAGAATTTAGTTATATCAGCGGCCTCCGTAGAGAGGGTCCCCTCGATGTAAATATAAAGTATTTAAATATAAAGGACCTTTTCTGGGGTAAAGAAAACTACAAATCATACAATTTAGATGAAACGAACTAGTGAAAACATCATGAGGATTGTTCTATATTAAATTTCTGACAATAGTTCCCTTTTCACTTAATCGCTCTATAGAGGTCACTGAATTCAAACTCTGCTGATTCAATTACTGCAGAGTTCAAAAAACCTCCTCTGGCACTAATATAAACCAGGAGCTTCATGACATGTTCTCCATGGTGTAAAGCATGACACCATTGGAGAAGTGGTAACGTGTTCTGTGGAGTGACAAATCATGCATCTCTATCTGTCTGATGGATGAGTCTGAGTTTAGCGAATGCCAGGAGAACCTGACCTGCCTGGCTGCATTGTGCTAACTGTAAAGTTCGGTGCGGGAGGGATAATGCTATGAGGTTGTTTTTTCAGGGGTTGGCTGCCGTGCCTTAATCTCAGTGAAGGGAAATCTTAATGCTTCAACTTACCAAGACATTAGGACAATTCTATGCTTCTTTGTGGGAATAGTTTGGGGAAGGCCCTTTTCTGTTGCAGCAAGACTCTGCCCATAATGGCATGGTGGGGCGAGTTTAGTGTGGAAGAACTTGACTGGCCCGCACAGAGCCCTGACCTCAACCCCAGTGAACACATGTGGGATGAACTAGATCGGAGATTGCGAGCGAGGCCCTCTCATCCAACATCAGTGTCTGACATCACAAATGCCCTTCTAGGTGAATGGGCAAACATTCCCACAGACACACTCCAAACTCTTTTAGAAAGCCTTCCCAGAAGTATTATTATACCTGCAAAAGGGGGGGGACCAACTCCTTATTATTGCTTATGAATTTAGAATGGGATGTCATAAAAGCTCCTGTAGGTGTAATGTGCATGTGTCCCAATATGTTTGTCCATATAGTGTATCTGGTTTGAATAATATCCAAAATCCATACAGATATGTTTAATCTACTCCTGATTTTCTATTTGCCCTCTCATCCTGGTCTGGAGGAATCCTCACCTCACTGAATCCCAGGCCGCAGTGTCTCCGGTTCCGGCCGGACAGTTTCCCATCCATGCCCTGCTGGTACTGCATCTCCAGCTGCTCGTTCATCTTCTTATCTTCATTCCCTGCAGAGGAGACACCAGTCACAGCAGGCACACCCAGCCATTACAGGCCTATCCATGCATGGATGGATCTGTACGGCGGATGTGTAGTGGGAGAGCCAGGTTAATTGCACTGGGCTTAAGGATGAGGCAACATGGGTAAGTGGCATGGCAGAGTAGCTGAGTTTTGAAGTTTTTACTCGAGCACAACAAATGACAAATGAAGCTTACCACTACGGAAGTGGGAGGTTGATTTGTGGTCACCGATGATGAGGCGTCCTGTGTGTTCTTTCTGTAGAAGAGAAACATTCAGTTTTCATATCATCTGTCACAACTCCTGCAAAGGTTATCGTGACAAACTAAAGAAACTCTATTATCATTTCATTATTGATGTGAACTGAATTCAAACTTTGGCCTGGGCCGATAATTAATAAATCAATTAATGGCACGATAAATTAAAATGGACTCGATCATTTTGCCGGCCTCGATATATCGCCATGTGCACGCGTGTTTGTTTTCCTCGTCTCTCGCCTCCAAGCAGGCCGGATGACAAGAGGGTTCACTCTGTGCTCGGTCTCAGCACCTGGGAGCGTTTGTTGCGGAATGAACGGAGTGAACCCTCTTGTCACTCATCCAGTCTCCGTGGGGGGAGGCGGGGCCGCTAGCATTAGCCACACATGCTACACACACAGAGTGCAGAGAGTGAGCGTCGTGCGGAGCAACGCGAGGAGAAAAGATGATTGTAAAGTCAAACGCCACAGCCCCGGTGTGGGGATGTTTCGGCTTCAAACCGAATGAGCAAGGTGAGCCCATCAACACGGACGAGCCAGTTCAGAAGTGGTGGCAACACAAAGTTGCATGCCCACATAAAGCACAACCACCTGATCCAGTTTAACCAGCGGGGGAAACAAAGTGCAGCTCGAGATGCAGAGCCTTCGTCCCGACAGTCAACACTCACTGAGGCGTTCGGTCCACGAAGTAAATATAAACGGAACAGCGCAGAATGGTGTTCGCTCACAGAAAGTGTAGTTCACTACATCGCTAAAGAAGTGCTGCACTTTAGTACAGCTGAAAAGCCAGCGTTGAGAGAGATGCTGCAGAAGTTTGACAGACAGAACGAATTGCCTGCGAGAAAATAGATGTCACAAACGGCCTAAATGTTCAGTATTTATTGGAGTGCAATTTCGTTTATGGAGACTTGATAAGCCATTTTATTTATTGTCTTGGTTGTGTGTGGTTTTATTTTGAGTGCTGTTTTTGCTAACAGAGACTGAGGGTCCATTTTATTTATTTAGGATATTTAAACGCTGAAATTACAATTACAATGGTCAAAAATACTGAGAAATAAAAGTTTATTGTCTTTGAAAGGGTGTGCATTATTATGATATATTATCATGTTGACAATAATATCGTTTATCGGCAATAATTCGTGGGACAATATATCGTCCAGCAAAATTTGTTCTCGTCCCAGGCCTAGTGATCTAAAGTATGCAAAACAAACCTTGCCCGCACCCATCAACCGTAGGAACTTTTGTTTCCTCTCATTGCTTCCCAGATCAGCTGATGCCCACTGGGTAGAGCCATCCTGCCAAGGCAAAACATCATGAAGAGTCAACAATTCCACCAAAAACATGCCGCTCATGAATATGCAGTTATATTGTATATTAATTTTGCATATATACACTATTTTTACATTGCAGTGCAGGCTGTTTTCTAACAATGAGGGCTACTCATCCAGTCTCACACCGTCTGGGAGTGACACCAGCCAGAAGCGGTTACTATCATCTATTGCAGGTATGTTAGACAATATTTATCTTTATTAAAATGCACAATCTGTGTGTCACAAATCAACTGGGAAAAGAATACTCTTTATATAATAAATGCAGTCTACTTTAAGATGTTTAAATGATCCCACATAAGTGTGGAACTGTGAAATATCTGCAGGGTAAAGCCCATGAAAGGAGTCACTGAAGTTATGGAAGAAAAAGATCTTGAAGAAAATGAGAGCATGAAAATTCAGACATTAGATGAAGAAGTAAGTAAATGAGTAGAAAACTACAAACTATAAACAAAACCCTCATTAAGACACTGACACTACACTGTCTTAGCTTTAGCTAGCTGTTCCTGCTAACATGTGTGGTTGGTGCAGTCACATGTAACCAGGGCAGTGACCTGTTTCTTATTTGAAATATATTTTAGGAATTAGCACAAATAAGATGTGAAACATTTTGCACAGATTATATATATAACTGATGAAACCGTGTCAATGGTATTATTTACATTATTTATCGATGTGTTTAGTGTAAGTAGAGTAAATGGCTGATAATATTTGATAGAATCATTACTCCTTGCTATAAAAACACTTGATTTAAAGATAAATCACTAACGGCTTATCTTAAATCGACTTGACTCAAACTCATACAATGTGTGATATGTTGAATGCATTAAGGGTTTCAGCCACATTAAGAAAGACGAGTAAACTTTGTCCAGGACCTAAAAAAGAAACGAGGTCAGGTTTCAAGATAAAGCTCCAACGTTAGCAACCACGCTAACATGATGCCAGCCTCGTCTAAGAAACTCGTAGCTTTCTCCTGCGGATTATTCACAGTTTGTATAGTTTCACTCACATCACTTGGAGAAGCGGGTCGTTTAGTTCCATGTCTGTCCTCTGGAGAACTCATGATGAAGGAAAGCTTCAGTAAAATATCAATAAAACACCATATCACCGAACTAGCACAGGCTAGCTGGGTTTGTCAACAACGCTGTGTCGTCTTCTTCACTTGTGCTGCAGACGAGCCTCTCTGCTGCCGCCCACTGGTGGTCCGTGATACAATAGTACACTCGGTTGTCAGTTTATTAGGTACACTTTGCAAAAATAGCAAAATTGACTGTCCAAATTGTGTGATTTTATTTTTTTAAATAACTCACTGTTAATAACGCCTGTATGTTTGAACTTCACTGTGCAGAGTTTGACACTGTGAGGGTGTTTTCACATCAGCTCACTTTAAAACGTGACGTTGAGAGACCCGTTCCATCATAGTTCAGTGTAACTTGTTCCATCATAGTTACTTGGACTTATTGCCTCTCGAGTATGAAAACTGAGAAGCGACTTTGCAGTGAAGTAGGAGACATCTTGTGTCCAATTTTCTGGAAATTTTGTTGAAGAAAGAGCTGATGTCATTTTAATGAGCACATTTCCAGTAAAGACACAAGTGACTTTAATGGCTCAAAACATGTGGGAGGGATCTTTAATAGAACAGTAAAGTAGCCTAATCCAATAGACCTACTGCTTGGCTCAGAATAAATATCCTCGACAACGTGTCATTTAAAGGAAGGCAAAGGACAATGAATTATCTGAGATTTCAATAACCATCTAGAGAAAGTTAGCTTTTTAAAATTGTTATTATGATTGTTATTATTATTATTGTTATTAGTAGTAGTAGTGATTACAGGCTTCGCCTTGGTATTTGGAGGATGCAAGGTCTTGCAAAAAAATATATTAATATTTTTGGCAAATTAATAAACAGTAGCCAGCAGTGGAGGTAGATTCAGTATAGCCTCGCGAGGAGCATAATCAAATCAAAGCTTAAATATTGGTATTCTTTTTCTATACTCCCATACCACAGTGTAAAATTACCCTCCACTTGATGACCTGCAGTCGAACCACCAAAAGGTGGCGTGAGAGTAAATGTAATAAAGAGTGAGCCCAGAGGAGCTCACACCTCTGACAAGACAATAAAACTAAACCTTTCTACAGCACAGGCTTGCAGAAGAGTTTATGTATGACCTGAAAATCTTCCTCAGTGAGTTTAACAAGCTGTGTCCCACCAAACTGAGGCCTCACATTATATGTTCCTGTGCTAATCTGATAAAATAACAACATTTTCTGTGGCAGAACGCAGATTAATCACACTTATATTGGCCATAATGGAAAAGAGAAGGCAGATATTTTTTAAATTAACGGACTTTATCTTGAATTCAATCCTCACGTTAGACTTAAAGGATGGAAACAAATGTTTCAATGATAAACAATCAATGGTGAGAAATGAATCACATGTGCGAAATATTAGCAGACAGGAAACTTTGAACACATTCATTTGCTTATTTGTGTCCACAAATCTATTTTATTTTTTAAATCCATCTAAGACTCGCTCTTCATTAGTGCGTTTTCAATTCGAGTGATTTCTGACACATAAGCAAATATTGGTAAGAAAATGTGTGTCCATAACAAAAGATAATTTTCATTTAGACTAAACTGCTGCAGGCGCGCATACACAGAGAGAATAGAAGAGACAGAGGTGAAGACAGTTTGTTGAACTGATTAACACTGGTGACTATAAAATGTTTTATATTTGAATGGATAATGAGTCACACAAAGAAAGTGACTCAGACAGACAGATAAAGTGTGTATATACTTGGACTTATATATTTATGAGAACCATTTTGAGCCTAGACCTACGGACCGAGGACATTTTTGGAAAGTGAGGGCATTTTTCATTTTTTTACCAATGAGTGTCCTCAATAAGAAAGAAGTACAAGAATGTGTGTGTGTGTGTGTGTGTGTGTGTGTGTGTGTGTG